ATTGCAATGTTGCTAAGATTGTGTAACTTCATCCATTGCAGTTTAACTATTGAAATCCTAAAAAAATATGAATTTATACATGGTAATTTTTTTCATAAATTTACAGTTTCTATCGAGTAAAAAGAACCTGTTTAGGGACAATCAGGTTGTTCTTCCACGACAAAAGAAGCTGCACAATCATAGCAACATTGCAATGCTGTTTGTTCCTTTTTGCAAAATGCAATCCATATTATAAAGTCTTATGAAATTGTGCATCCATTTTCTAACTTTCAAGTACTTCTGTGAACTAACTAACGATCAGACTCTTTGCTTTCTAATACAACTTCTTCTTTCGTCCTATACTGCCAATCTTCACTGAGATATTCCTAAAGTATTTTCCGACAACACTTTGCCGTCGAAAAATAAGGGGAGACGCAACTTCTTCTCGAGTTTGCCTTTGTTCTTATACAGCCGACACTGAATGTATTACCTCCACATATTTTCTCAGCTCGACCCTTTTCCACCCCACCCCCCCCCACTTACACACACAAGCTAGCGGAAGACTCTTCTTTTCTCATTTTTAAGTAAATATTTCTTATTCCCCTGGAAAACTAATAACCGTCAGTCCTCCATTATGCTGAGCTATACAGCGGCAAGCGCAAAGCAACAAATGGGGAGTTATTATTTTAACAGAGGGCAAATATTTTCGAATAATATTTAAAATACGTTCCAAAGGATGGACCTGCTGAGCGTTGTGTATTCTTCCACGGAAGATCGGAGCGCAGCCAAGGAACTTAAATGCATCTTCCTCTTTCAACGTATAAATTGACTTATCTACAATAGCAATCATTTCTTGATAAACGGCGGAGCTCGGAGCTCTCCTTAGAATTTTCAGAAATGTTGACGTTGTTTATCAATGATGAAGACTCTCTCAACAGCGGGCTGGTTTTTGGAATCTATAGACAAAACATTAGACAAAGAACAAGAAGAGAAAGTGGATCGATCCTATCAATATATCCTAAAAAATATGGATTATTTTGTTAATGTCCAGTGATAATTTTTGGCGAGCATCGACTTTGATAGACAAAGCATTAGACAAAGAACATGAATAGATAATAGGGCGACCCTACCAGTATTTCCTAAGAAATGGAATGATTTTATTTTACTGAAGTCCAAAAACAATTTTGGACGATCTACGAGCAGCTAGTTCGATAGACAAGGCGTTAGGAAAAAATACTAAAAGGAAAAAGATCGATTCTATTAATCTATCCTAAAAAATAGTAATTTTCATTTAATTAAGTCCAGAGACAATTTTGAACGATCTACGAGCAGCGAATTCGATAGACAAAGCGTTAGACAAAAAACACAGATGAAAAAAAAAGACCGATTCTATTAATCTATCTTAAAAAATGGTAATTTTTTTTTTTTAAAGTCCAGAAATATTTTTTGGACGATGAACTGTAGGGACGTAGGGTGTCTCCCTTCCAAACGACTGAAGTCAGATTGAGGTCAAAAATAAAAGTTAAAAAAATAAAAATAAAAAACAGTCCAGGATTCTCGTTGAGCAGATTATTTATTTCCACACAACGTCGAGCTTTGCTCCCGACCGACCCTCCCCCTCCCCCTCTTCCCGGGGAGGGAGCCCACACCTCTGAAACCTTTCCCTTCCCGTCCCGTACACCCTGAATTCCAGGCAGGGATCGCCGTGGCGCGGGAGGAAAAAATGGGTTCCCGCTGTATTTTTTTGTCGCCCTTTCGCCGACAGAAAGACGTAATTGCAATGCGAGATACGCCCTTTTTCCCACGTAACGCCATGCCGCCCACGGCTCACGCGAGGGTAGTATTATGCTTTCCAATCCGAATTGTCACGTTTACGAATCAGTGGTGTGACGTGCTTTGCGATATATCGATTGTGATGCCATTTAAACCTATGGAAAAGGATCGATAAACAGGGTGTTCGCAGCGAACACCTTAATAATCGATTCTTTACCATAGGTTTAAATGGAATAACAATCGATGTATCGCAATTCACGCCACGCCACTGTTACGAATGCAACCCGCTTTACATTTTCAACACTAGCCATCTCTCGTTTCACCCCTCCCCGCCCCTCCGCCCAGACCTGCGGCCTCATTCCTTCGGCGTCCAGAACAATACTCGCTCTTCCTTTTCTCGCGTTTCCATTCATAAATTGAAATTTATTTCCCACTTTCCGCGGAATTATTCCGTCGTAAAAATAACCGAAATTACTCGCCCTGTGTATTCGCGGTGGACCTCAATACTTTCGGATGATTTGTCTCTGATTTCTAGAACAAGAGTTTTTCTCCTCGGTTCCAGTCTAAAGATAGGGTTGAACATAGGGATTGGGACAAACATATTTACGACACTGGGGTGAAGGTACCAAAATTGCAATTGAATGCGTGATTAAAAAAATAACATTTAACAAAAAACTGATCTTAAATTGTGGTCGGCTGTACAATGAGACCGCTGAAACAAAGTGCACACTACGTTTCCCAAGAAAAAAAATGTTATGAATTATCACGTGGGAAACCTCTCTTATTGTGCTTCTCTTCCTCATTATGTTGACTCATTTATTTACGCTCCTTTCTATATTTTTTTAAACAAAACAAGGCACAATATCTTAGGTAAAATCATGAATTATGGCATTTACACCGAAAAAAAAAGATGTTAAAAATGTGCGACAACTCTGGCGTTAAAGAACATTCTAGGATGTAAAGTAACATCCTAGGATGTTACTTTAACGCCAGACTGTTAATGGACATTGGACGAGTCCGTGAAATATTTTCGAAAATTTCACGGGCCTGCAAACCTTATAAAATTTAGGACATTTTTAACCGTAATTTTTAGGAGCTAGGTATGCAGCCCGCACTTATATGCGAGAAATCTCCATCTTTGATACCTAATTATCAATCATAAACTGAAATTTTCGGAAGTATTTCACGAGAGTTTTCATGATTTTAAATTTAATGACATTTTGCCCACATAATTATGTCCGATAACGAGGCAGATTAAACCTAAGGTGACTCCGTTACTTTTTATTGAATGAAGTGAAAAATTTGCTTCTATCGACACATACCTATTCTTGCAATGATATTTATCGATCAATTTCAGCGATACTGCCGTGCTAGGGAAGAACGCCACATGACCCTTCAATAAAAACCGAATTTACTCAAAAGATTGTGAATATTTTTTTTCAAGATTTTCACACAATTTTGTACGCAATTGAATCTAACATACCTGAAAATATCATGGAAAAAATGGATAAATTCCGTCCAAAATACGCACGTCATATAAAGGGTAATATGAAAACCCTCGAATGTTCTTGAGGCGTTCTTCCTTAGCACAACAGAGTAGCGATTCGACAGTCCAGTCGCAGCGCATAATGAGAGGCAGTGACACGGAAATAAATTAAAGCCCCGATAGAATTACTCTAAGTTATAGATATATTTTCTTTCAATTAAATGCCTAATTTCTCTGGAGCCGTGGCCCGCGAGAATCGTCACGCTATATTTCGATCATTTATGTTGCATGAGTCACCGTGCTAAATAGAGCCGCAATTATGGAACAGACTCGAGAACTCGTACTTTTCCATCCAGGCCGCCGGGAACATTCGACTCTTTTTATGTTTCCATGTTCGGTATCGTAAAATCTTCGTGAACCGTAACAACAGTAAATTGTCGGGTAGGCGCGCGGCCCACTTCTTTTGTACTTTTGTTTCGGAACATACGTCCGTGTTTATTTGCTTTCATAATATTCCCGGTACCTTTGACATTTTTTTATGTTTTTTTTTGTACGTGTGGGTGGAGGTCGCGAGAGGCGGTCTCGCTGCTAATCTTTTTGTTTCGTTTTAATGGATTCATCGCCCGGCCGGACTTTTGACTCCCGATTTTCGAAATTAAAATATCAGACGAGTAAATTTGTAACGCGCTATGTAAAATCACCCGGTGGCTTGTTGGAAAAAGTTGTCGTGAGAGCGCATCGTTAGCTACATCGGGAAAAAAGTTCGGTCACATGAATAGTAAGTTCGGTGTTGCCTTTTGGCTCGCGTAACCGCACTCAGTTTCTGGGGACTGTTTTCAGCTGTATAATGTGTTTTAAAATGACCTTAGCCTTCCTCAATTCGTCGCTTTGCGTTCGAAGGAACGTAACTCCATTCCAAAGTTGCAAAAATGACCAAGACAATTCAATTTTTTACAAGAGTGTACCTGTACATTTTTGTCGACATATTATTTTTATTTTCGCATCATGATATCAGAAGAAAAATCAGCGCACTTTTCAGGTAGAAAATACCAATATTCTCCTGGTGAAAATGTGATCGGTGTGGGGAAATTTGGCAACATTGAAATTTCGTTACATTCTTTGTGAAGGGAACGACGAACTAAGCGCCAGGGCGTTTTTTTATAGAAAATTATTGTTCTCATAGAAAACCCTAATGTGATGGAGAAAAAGCTCGTCGTTTGCGGTGTCAGCGCTGAAAAAAATGAATTCTTTAGAACTTGTTGAGAGTTCGTCACCTTTCGGCCAAAGTATCATAAGCGCCAAAATTTTCCGCCACCATTTCATTTTTTTACAGAGAAATTGTTCATCGGAGCTGTCCAAAATTTTAATGAATTCTTTCGTGCTGACGAAAAAAGTCAGTGAAATTTACAAAAAGATTCAACCAGCAATTTCTCTGTAAAAAAATAAAATGGTGGCGAAAATGTTTAAACGTCGCAAGGCGCTTGTGATACTTTGGCCGGAAGGTAACGAGTTCATTTTTTTTCGATGTACACCTAATGGTCTTGTTTCGAAACGATAAGTGAATCTTTTGAATTTTGCAAACTGCGCCAGCTGAATCAAACAGTAAATAGAAGGCGTAGCTTATTAGAATGTCTATGCGCAAAAAAAAAAAAAAAAAAAAAAAATACTCCAAGATTATGAGGATTACAAGGATTTTTAGGCATATTGATCCTCCAAATTTGCAATATTACAATGTTTTAATGTTCCTATTTTTATGTTTCAGTGCGGCCAATATCAGTTACCATCCAGAAAAAAGACAGAACTCTGCGAGAAGGCGTGCTGGAGGAGATAGTTTGTGTCGTCAATGGTTCCAGGCCTGCCGCAAACGTTACGTGGTGGAAACAAACAACTCTCATGGAATCACATATGTCAACGGTAAAATTCTATTACCACTTTCAGTTACAGATTGTTACTATTATAACACATTCATATGCAACCAGCAAAACAAGAGTCTCAATCGGTAATTTGCATGGGCATATAGCAGACATTAATAACATTTTATCAAACGCCTGAGGAGACAGTCAAATATTGATAGTCCAAGAAGTTGTGTGTTTTTGATAAACAGATCTCGAGTTTTCAATGTTTTTAAACTAACAGTTTATCAAGTTCAAAAACTTTCCTTACATTTTACTCTCCAAGTGATCTGCATTTATTTTGTCTGTCAACAATAGAAAAATTCTGAAAAAGACGCTTCGAATTCAAGATTAAAGCTCGCTTATGGGCTAGAAATAATAAAACACCTCTAATGATACATATTATTATATAGTATTGTTTCTCATATGAGCAAGGAATTATTTCGTCTAAAATTAGTAATATAATCAAAATTTCAACCTAAGTAAGAATATTTGACTATTTTTTACGGCATTTGACAATTTGCTCGTGACATGCAGATCATTTTATTGCATTTCGATGGTTGATACTTCGTATTAAGTAGTTTTTGGAACCAATATAATCAAAAAGAACCATGTGCATAACATTTATGTTTACTTTTCAGGCATTTTTGTTTTTTTGTGTCTTCTTTGTCAATCGTTTTGTCTATCAATTTTTGTAATCAGGGCATCTCACGAGAGACCCTATGGCTCGCACGCCATTCTCTACTTTAGTGTACAAGAACGACCCTTTCAACCAATGGGATCGCTCCGTTTTTCCTGTGTCTTCTTTGTCTATCGATTTTAGTAATCAGCTCGCAGAACGCCTAAGAGTAAAGGGGGTTTTGCGCGACTCGGGGATAAAATTACCGAAAGCTAGGCGAGAATGATTTACGCGTCCGTCAAAGTTGCGTGGCAAGCTTTACGCGTTAACAAAACAAAACACCAACACACCGGCGTACGTAAACACAAACGAACATAGACAAACAGGATCCAGTGTTGAGAGTGCGGTGTTATAATCGCCGCTCGTTGGTCGCCTCTGCCCGCCGTTGCCAAATTTCCTCGATTTCAGCTCCAAGTGAGTCGATTCGTGTTGAAACCTCATATGTCAAAAAAAAAAATTTTAACAGCGGGCTGATCTTTGAATTGAAGTAAATCGGCCCATTTTAAAACTTAACATGCCCGAAAAAATAAAGAATAAGTTTTATTTTCCGAAAACTTCTCTTTGCCAGGGATTCCATCGTCCGCATGAAAGTAACGCAAAAACGCGGAGGATTAGAGGTATTTTCACGCATAAACCTACAATTTTAAACATTAAATCGAAAAAATGAGCATTTTTTGCGCAAAATATGTCTCTTGGAAAGTTCTTTATCACCTGGTTAAGAATAAAGCCAGGAAGCTCGAAAATATGATGCGATTATTGGAGAGAAATTATTTTTTGTAGGCAATTTTATGTAACAACCCAACGGGTCTAAATTAAAGTTTTCTCATCAATTCAATGAAGCAAAATTGTCAAAATTGATCACAACACTCACAGGGGTTCCAGACTTTCTGTTGTGTGATTCGTTTTCCTTGAAACAATTTAAAAAGAAAGCACGTTACCTAGTCCTTTAACTCATACCATTTGGACGTATTTCTGCCAAACGGAACTAAGTGCATTAAGACATGAGCCTGGAGATCCATAAGAATATATGCATAACAGGGCTCACGTCACAATGCACATAGTTCCTTTTAGCATAAATACGTCTATTTCTGGTGGCCCGTCCTGATATTCCCGGATTTTTCTGTCGACTTGACAGCCGAAGTTGAGAGCGAAGTGTCGAGTCGTTGACACTGAACTTTCAGCGGTTAATTTCCCTTAGGATTAGACAACGGTTCGGCGCGCTAACCGAGCGATATTTAATTCCTGCCCCCTGCCCCGGCCCCACCCCCGACCCACCCGGCGGGCATGGCGGTAGCATCACAATCCCGAGCATCTCCGCAACTCGCCACTTATCAGTTACGAACTATGACAGTAATTACTGTAAATATTCCTCGCGGAACGAATCTTGGGACGAGAAAAATTTATCGCTTTCGCGGGGGTAATTTATTTATCAACTTGTTTTCGACTCGACTCCCCGGGGATTACTGTAGCGCCGGGTACTCGAAGGTCGAGAGGTTCGAGCGACTCGGAGGGTCAAGGTTGATGAAGGGGATCGATGATGCACCTAGGTTAAAATCTTCGATTTTAGTTTTGGGAGTCAGGAAAAGGGCTTTCAAGGTTGAAAACAATCGATCATTTGCACTAGTCGCAGAACCACGTCTTGCTAGTTTAAGATTTTGGTCCAAGCAATGGGGCATCTTTTTTTTTTTTTGCTGATTTATGATCGAAAAATATCAAGACACGTTTTTGCGACTAGCGCATCTGATCCAAGAAATATTTCGACTATCGCACATCAGCTTAGAACAGTTGATTCAGTCGTATCTACGAGTGCAAATAACACGAAAAATTCATTTAAATTTACCCTTTGGACATAGAAAAAAGTGTCAGAGGTGATCTCCTAAAATTGTGGTTCTACCTCATTTTGTTTGCGGTGATATGAGCAGTTCCAAATAATTGTGGTAGAATCATAACTCAAGTTAGGGTGATACTGCAACATTTCGGTTAGTAACCTAATTTATTAGCGCACCACCACAATTAATTGGAAATGACCAAGTTAAGTTAGAGCCCCTACCTCTAATTCTGTAGAAGCCATGTCCTACTTTACTTTGTGTGACCATTTCTATCGTGTTTCAAGAAAATGTTCTGTAGCATTTGTTCGAAAATTCTAACCCTTGACTCCATTTTTTGCGGAAAAAATTAGCTTCGATAGGTCAGTTGCACTAGTCAGAGAATGGTGTTTTAATAGTTTAGGCGTACAGATTAGCTATGTTCAAGCGACGAGTTTTCCCGTGCAATGCTACCGGATCTTCCCGCAAAGAACGCACAGTCAAAGAATGAAACATTTTCAAACCGCCTTCGATGCTCATGATACCGCCCGACCAGCGCTCGAGGTGAAATAGTTGTATCCTTGCGCCTGCAATCAATCTCACTTTTTCCCAGCCTCTCTCGCATTGCAAAAGTGCTTGTTGGTGCAATTTATACCAATACAACCTAGAGAAAACGGGAATGTTCATGAGTTTTGAAAACGATGTTCTTATATCATACGAGTTAGAGATCACTCCAAGAGTTTAAAAGACTTTCTAATGCCTGATTCTGACACATGTTTCCTCTTCAATAAAATCCCACGTAAAACACAATTTGCGCGACAATTTCAAATGGTATTAACTCCTAACTGAGATAAAAACGTTTTGATACGATGAATTTAAATTTCCTGCTCACAAAAAAACAAGAGTCTCCTCTTCAATCAAATCAAACATTACAACGGTTTTGGCGGGTTTCTCAATAATCAGTGTTCCTTCCCACCCTGTGTTATTCATAGTGTGAGAAGTGTGCATTAGCTGACCTAAAGAGCCGAGCTTGAGGTTGGCGTATTTTCATCCTGCAGAGACTGTTACCGTAACGTTCAGTTTACGATTGGTGAAGTAAATTTTGGTTTTTCCTAAGCGGAACGTTCGAATTTACGCATCAGAACACATTAATATCTCGAATTAGGAGTTACTTCCAATAATTTTTGTAGCGCTTTCATTCAAACTTGTGCAATGACAATATTGTAAACCGAAGATTCACCTTCAATTAGCCGGTTATGCAAAATGACTGTCGTGCTGCACGAATAGTGGTATCAAAATTTTACATGGATCTTACGTAGCGAATTGAAGGCGTCTCTGTTTATCTCCTCAATCGCGCAGTGTTCTTCTCCGCCTTGTATTGTTCAAAGTTTGAACATTGTGCAACAGCTGAGCCGATGCGCCGAGAAAAAAAATGTTAAAGTTTTAATACCGCAGAGTCTGTTACCGTAACTGTTATTGCGCGATTCAACTCAAGTAGGTTATTTTTGATTATCTAAAACCAGGAAGTTTTTAAGTTTCGCAACGAAAATCGTTTAAATCTTGGTTACGAGTTACTTTCAGTAGTTTTCGTTTTGTAAATTGTGTTCTGCGTACAATTTTTATGTGAAAACATAGTGAAAGCTAAAGTGCAAAACCACGTATCTAATTGTGCTGTTTCAAAATTCTTGCTCCCATTTCATATTTTTCTGAAAAGGAACAAGCTAATTTCACCGCCTGAAATTTTTACAAAATACTTCGCGAACGGGGGAGAAAAGTCAAGGAGGTTTTTAAGAAATTACACCGACCAATTTTCCGAGGAAACATTATGGCAGTTTAGGAATTCTGCAACATCGCTAACGTAGATACGAGGTTTCGCACCTTGGCCATCGATATTTTAATCTTTAAAATCGCACCCTGTCTAGTGGTCTATCCGAAGAAGGTGGCGGAAAATTTCGGAGCACCGTTGGGAGAGATAAAAGCACGGCATACATTTTACAGGGGTTTCATTCGGGGACGTCCTGTACAAGGAAAAATACAGTTTATTTCAAGACGATCTCACCCCTCCACCCCCCACCCTTAGAGACGACGCCTGTGGTGGCTTGAGCCCTGAATATATTCGCGTTAAGGGGGTCTTTGGCTCGGAGGAAAAGATTCCAGGTCTCAAACATACGTCCCGTATAAATTAATTCAGAATTCGAGTGTGTAACAAGGGTTTTTATCCGGGAAATTCTCTGGAAATATTTAAATTTATTTAAATTCGAAGCACACGCGGCAGGCTGTGTTCTTGGAGCTGCAGTACGCTGGATTTAGACGGGTTCCTCTCCCCGAGTCGCGGGCTCCCGTCACCCGGATATATGTGAATTCACGCGAAAATGTAAAAATGAGGACTCTACGAGGGTTCGAAAGAAAAGGGAGTGCTCCATATTCACACGTTTTCAAAAAGATTAGTTTTCCCCCTTATTGAGTATTTTACAAATTTAAGGTGTGATACAATTCCATGTTCAGATTTTATAAAGTTGTTTTACTTTCGAGTTCAAT